AATTCGACATGTTAGTTCGGGGTGTAGCCGTTCAGATGGTAGAATGCTCTGGAACGAGCCGGTGAAAATTTATGGCATATCAGCGATGTTTCACGTCATACCCCCTCATTACAGGCATAACATGCGGCGCTTTACGCATTTATATGCTAAGTATTGTAATTTTCCTTTTCTCAGGTCGTAGATGCAGTGCTTTTTACAATGAAGAGCTCTTCCCATTTCTGGTTGAAGCGGAACTATACCGTGGTGCTTTTTGATTCCGCAATCCGGGCAATTTTGGCCTGTGCAATCTGGAATCCTGGATCCCTACAAATTCAGGTTAAGAAATCTGGAATCCCGCTTAAGATTAGAGTTCAGGATCCAGGTTCCACTGATAGGATCCCGAAATTAATCCACACCGTTTAATTTGCAGAATCTACTACTTACATAGAGAGAGACACTNACCCCCTCATTACAGGCATAACATGCGGCGCTTTACGCATTTATATGCTAAGTATTGTAATTTTCCTTTTCTCAGGTCGTAGATGCAGTGCTTTTTACAATGAAGAGCTCTTCCCATTTCTGGTTGAAGCGAAACTATACCGTGGTGCTTTTTGATTCCGGAATCCGGGCAATTTTGGCCTGTGCAATCTGGAATCCTGGATCCCTACAAATTCAGGTTAAGGAATCTGGAATCCCGCTTAAGATTAGAGTTCAGGATCCAGGTTCCACTGATAGGATCCCGAAATTAATCCACACCGTTGAATCCAGAATCTACTACTGTCTTCGGGATTACCTTGCAGAATCTACTACTTACGTAGAGAGAGACACTTGCATAAAAAGCCCAAAAGTCAAATAATTCAGCCTTGAATGTGATTCGAAAGAGCGTATGGAATAGAATACTGGTAGAGTTTGTTAGTGCTCTTACCACTCATGAAACAAGTCATTCTTCCACAGTTCAAACATCATAAAATGTTTTGTACCCGCGTGTGACGTCGTCAGCGAGTAAAAACGACTCGAAATGATCGTCTGAAATTCAGGCTACGGGTGACTTTGTTATCTAACTTAAACAGGCCCTGTATAAGTAGCAGCAGGCAGGGGCACCCAACGACGGTTTTCTTCTAAATACATATTGAAAACAATTTTAAGGCTACCCAGAGTACTTTTACAGCTCTATAAACTGCATTCTACGTAGACTGCGAGCAGTCTCTTTCTCTTTGCAAAGTTACTGCACTTGAAACCCAAGCACGCGAGCCTAATCCCTTACTGTAACATAACGTCGTGGTTTACAATCGCGATGGCTGAGATGAGAATTAGACGGATTTTCAGAGAAAACGGCGCACTGCAAGCAGTCTACATTCTACGCGGCGCTGTAAACTTTGTATCTGTTCGGTCTTCCCTGGCGAACCTTGGTCTTTTCGAAATTACAAGGGCTTCAGTATCATTTTTTATTTTTCGAAAATTTTAAATGCAGTTTAACGTATTACGAAATAATTTTTTTTCTGATTCTCTCCCAATCAAATTTTTGACTCCGAAAATTTAAAAAATTTCAGGATTCCTTTTGTCTACGAAAAGTAGCCTAACTTGGAAAATATGTGAAAATTTTAACTTCAGAAAATCATAGGGAATTTATCAGATAAGCTTCGAAAATTGTACATGAATGGAATAGTCATATAGAAATTTTTAACCGTCCTCAAGTAATAGAAAGTTCTACGCAATATTTGCTTCTCTGAACAGTACCGGTAAATTACAGAAAACAGTCGCTGGGTCCCCCTTAGCAGGGGCAGCAGGGAGGGGGGTGGGAGAGATCTTTCAAACTAGGCCAGAATAATGAGCACGAATCAATCAAGAAGGCCGGCCGTTGAGAAAAGGGCAAAAAGATGTTAAGTTAACCCGGAAATTCCGATGTAAATCTTCTTCCACTACCCATCTGCACTTCCTTCCACCTCCTACGATCCAAAAAGCTTTCACCAAAACTTTTCCCACCGAAATGAAGCTTAATAAATGCCCAGCAAGAGAAACAAAACAAAACAAAAAATGTGCAAGAAATGGACAGTTTTGGCTGTTTGTAGCCAGCAGGGGCCCATTACTTCCATGTACTGATTCACATGTACTTCTTGAGGGGCGAGCTACGTGCGTCACCGCAAGTGGACTTTTTGCATTTGGCTAAACCCCAATTTTCGGGCAAATCGTCTCTACAAGTAAAGAGTAAAGACACTTAGCAATTCAAATTTGGTAGCATCAAGGCATAAAGGGGAAAGCATCACTTCCGGTTGACGTGCAAATGCAGACGTATTTCCGGTCGTCGCTTCTGCTGAGTAGAAGTACGCACATGACCCTCGCATGGAGTTTTCCGGTCATAGGGCCAGCTAATTTTTTCTGTAAACTTTCCACCAAGCAAAATCAACTTTTCGTACTTCAGTGTAAAAATTTTTACTCACGTTGAAAAGAACAAAAGATAATTGAAAAAGTGCTTTTATTAATTTATCCTCGTCTATAATTTCTGTAAGTTTAATAAAATCATAACGTACTTAGTTCTCAACCACATGAAAGTGTTTTCGAGTATTTACAATTTGCAAATATATAACGTTAGCTAAGACCTCGATAACTTTGCCAGTAACAGCTAACGTATAAAGCTCTGAAGTTTTAGTTAGTTAGTTAACTTCTTTTTTAATATTATTTATTTATCGGTTCACGGTCGTGCAGTGAAATCCCTCTCTAAGTAAAGTCACCTCATAATTTATCCACATTCTGGGGACTCAAATGTACAAAACATTGAGAAGTTTTCTTTAGCTCCGATAATAAGAAAACTCGTTAAAGCGGTCACATTTTGGTTGCATCAACTGGGTTTTAAAATGTGTGCTTTTCTTTTATTAAACTGTACATGAATCTGGTCTGGTCTGAACTTAGTTCAAACCAATCTCCTAATATCACCGGAAACGTTTAGCAGCTTCCAGGGTTCTATCTACGATTTATCATTTGGGGGAGAAGTCCCGAGTGCCCAAAGTCCTGAGGCTCCTAGGGGGTCCGGGGGCACGCCCCCCGGAAATTTTTGAAATGAATATGCGCTGAGATGCAATCGGGTGCATTTTGAGACACAATTTTGAGAAATGTTACAGTGCGTGCACTGACCTCGTCGCGTCTGGATGATTTTTCCGGTATAGTTACTCATATACTGTAATGATAAAAATTTTTTTTTTTTTTGGGGGGGGGGACCTAGGCATTTTTGGGGGGTAAGCTTCTACCCCTCAAATATCCTAAATACAACCCTGGCTTAATGAATATTTTTTACCGATCTGAGTAAACCGCTAACTCTCATGTTCATAGGGCCTTGAAGATAAAGAGGTTTTCATGGTAAATAAGTTAATTTCCTCCATCAGAGGCAAACATACATAGAACCAGCCTATTCTTTTCCACTGAAGGCGTCTAAAAGAGAGTGGAATAAAGAATAATTTCACCTTCTACAGGTGCTGCCATACCTCATCATTTCTAGCTTAAAAGTATCTAACAGGCGCAAAAAAGGAAAACGTTTCAACAAAAAAAGCAGTAACAAATGACTGACTGCACTTCCGTTTTGCTGCGCATAAAACAAAAGAAGGAGCAAAAAAATGGTGCGTTTGATCGTTCATATTCCAGAATAAAAATACGCAAAAATTTTGTTACAAATCTCTTTCAACGTAATTTTTCGACTACAAAACAAATGATGTCTTGAGTTTATTCCCTTTACTTTGTCTTATTCCGGAAAACAGTCGATCGAACGCGCCTTAAGCTTCGGAAAAATGGGCAACAACGTGCAACTTGTTTTGCAATCTTGCAAGAGAAACAACTTGAAAAGCGCTGTTGCGCGTTTTACCACCCACGCTCAAAACTGTTAACAACCTGATTTGTTGCAAGACAGGTTTTACGTGGGTCGCGTAACATCGCTATTCAACTTGCTTTGCACCAATAGTGCAAGACAGGTTGCATGGTTTTTGCTGCAAGTTTTACAGTCTTCAGTTCTCTAACCAGTCTCGACTACCTCACGAATTTGAACCACTTAGTTAAGTTTAAATAGAGCGGGGATTATGACACTTTTTGTACCATGAGTATTGTAAACTTCTTTCTTTGTCACTACAATAACTTGCTATCCACTGGGCTAAAGGTTTCACAAAGGCAACGCCGGGAAATAACAATAAAATTACTTTTTTAAAACACTTTTTTTAACGTATAACTTTTCAGTCAAATATTTTTCCTTAACCGAGGCAATTGCCCTAGGTTACAAGCTTCAGCTCTGCACTCAGAATCTGGCTGAATTTGGTAACGTCTCTCCATCCAACACAACAATGAAAAGATAATTATGTGTAAGGCCCTGTTCGCACTACGGAGCGCAAAGAAAGTAGTGTCTGATAGCCCGGGGCTTGTGGATTTTACTACCGTGCTAGTGAATTCTGTTCTTAACTTGCCTGATGGGCAATTGAAGTTTTTGGGGGAAATCAAATTGCATTAGAACTGTAATTCTGCTCATCAAATTTTTTTTCAGGCTAGTTAAAACAACTTTTGGGCTAGTACATGCTACCTAAGCTTGCCATTTTCAAGCTGTAACAACGATTTTCTTTGCTCCCTGCATCACAACAAGAAATAGAGTTTGGTGTTTGCAAAAAAATTGCATATTTTTTTTGTAGTTACCAGTTTTTCGTTCTTGTAACCTTGTTCGCACCAGAAGTACGCGAAAGTTTTCATGTAACGAGAAACGTCAAGTCATGTTCGCGAAATAAGATGACCCGACGAAGGATAGCTGTGAAAGAACAAAAGATTTTGTCGCCTGACAAAAAAATTGTAGGCCTCAAAAACTTTCGCAACGGCATCTTTGAAGTTTTGAGACATTTGAGAAAATTTTGGTATTAAAAAAAAAGAATCGTTCGCACTAGAAATGGCTTACTGTTGACAGATTTTTATTGTGATAAGAAGGAAAATTTTGTATAGTGCGGACAGGGCCTTTCAAAACTATTAATGATAAATTTCAAAGAATCATCTGACAATTAAAATCAACTAATCTGTGGTACAGGCAGGGCAAGAGGAATATGTGGCCTTTCAGGAACATATAACTTCTCCAGTATTGACTGTAGGCCTTTTGATGCCTGAAAACAAACAACAAATCCTTACGGTTGGTGCTTAAAGTAAGAAAGGACAAATCTAAAAATGTAATCGATATATCAGGCTACAGCCCATGGAAAGGGTGTGAAAAATATAAGGAAATTATGCGGAATTTCCAGGAGCTCCCATTTTGCGGCAGAAAGATCTATTATGCGGCACATTGTGTGATTTCTCCAGGAAAGAGTTCACCAAAACACCTACAGTGGAAGCTGTCCGAAGGACACCCTCGTACGCCAGGGGCGTAACCAGCTTTTCAAACTAGTTGTAAGCCTGGCTGACTTTCATTTCCACACATCCTGAAAATTGCATGCATGACTAGTACGCACTGACCTCGACAACACTTTGAGCTCTAAGCTTTTAAGCTCTCCCCAACAATGCATAATTTATTGCAAGCGGTAAAGTGATCAAAAAGTTGTAGGTCTGGGCCTACAAGTCTATGGGCTGGCTACACCCTTGTGAGCAGACAGCTCTACTTATGCACGCCTTCACAAAACTCCATTTTTCTTAGCTGCCATATAAACTCCAGAGTTCTCATTAAGACGCGGGAGCTGGGGATTTCCCCTGTCTACTAAGAACATGGCCCCCAGCTTCTTCCATAGGGAAATAGAAGAAAAATAGAACCAAAAGAAATCCCTAGCTGTTCCCTGTCTACTTGCTGTATTTACCTGGCAACTTCAAATCTTAGTGACAGCCCTGAACTCTGTTATTTTAAATTCCCAAAAGCAGTTAGCCCAAGTTACAGACACCTTTTTTGTGTGTCCTGCAGGTGTCCGCTCATGACAGCTTCCATTGTATTTTTATTGGTTTTAGAACAGCAATTTAATCGGACCATTATACCTTTCTGGGAAATTGCCCACCTACCCCTCCCCTAAGCCAACATTGACATTTACTTCTCACTTAGGGCAAAATGTTGGCTTAGGGGAGGGGCAGATGGGCAGTTCCCCAGATACGTATGCTGAACATTGAATTGTACCATGTGCAATTACTGCCAAAATAGGTTTCATTTGAATGGTTGCACCATGACTGGGCCAGGAGGTGAAAAGGTTAAAGAGGTGCTGTTTTAGGTCAATTCTGTGCTGACGTCTGTTAATAAGTTGAAACTCATTAATCACTTTTTAAAAATAAACGTTTTAGCTTTTTAAAAAAAATCAATCAAAACAATCGATGCCAGATGATTTGTTTTGAATGCAAAATGATTCGTTCATTGTTTAATATCAGCTTTAGAAGATGTAGAAGTCATTGAAAACTTATAACTAAAAAGAAGGTGAGCAGCTAGAGCTCTTAGAGTAAAAAATTTGACTTAATTTTGTTTTGCTGCCCAAAGATTCAAGATTAAAGATTCAAGACTTTATTATAAATTTTGTAAAGAATATTTTTACAAGTGTCCTGGCACCATAAATAGCTGTAGTTAGTCTAGGCGGGCCAGGAATGATATGAAAAGAAAATAACTGCAATTAAATTAAGGTTAAAAAAAAGTAGAAAGCAAGAGATACAAAGCAAAGATACTCGGTTATGTGACGCACCTCGAAATTATAACATATTTAGAGCAATCAAGCAAACTTTCATTGAAAAAATGTATCATACGATACATACCTTAGATGTATTTAACTTATATCTTTCAATTCCAAATCTTTCTATTGCTCTTGAAAATCCAAAGACATTAGATGAAACCCAGCTCTGCTTTTGACATGTAACCCTGGAACAAGAAGTAGCAATGAATTTTGAAACAATACAGGCCTAAAATGGTTCAAGAAAAGTTGAATCTTTAAAATATGCTAACTAACTTTCATTGGTGCTTACAACAACATTATAAAAAACAGTAGGTGTGGTTGAGTCTTTCAATCTTATAACTATTACAGAATTCTCAAATCTGATTGGTTATCATGAACTGTCCTGATCTCGGCATTAATAGGAAAGTGTAATTGGACAGTATGCATCAGTGTTTCAATTTTAGAAAAGCTTAAACTATCAATAATTTTGTTATAGTTATGATAACCAAAATTAAATTAATGAATTAATGGAATGGAATTTTCCAGAAAAAAAAATATCAGAAAATTTGGGAATACCACTCAAAGTTGTTGCTTTTTTAGAAACTTTGAAAAAAAGGAGTTAAAAAAGGAACAAAACGGAGTAAAACCACAGACAAAGTACATGTAAATGAATTTTGTTCAGCAAACCCTAGTTGTGTATCTGATTACTTCATTATTTTAATCAACAGCTGAGTCATGTGAGAAATAGGCCCTTTCCGATTAGCCTCACATCTCTATTTCAAGGCAAGGCAGACCTGACAGATGACATACAAGTGTTAAGTTAAATATGACTAAAAAAAATTAGCACGTGGTCTGGTTGACCCCTCAGATGGTCTACATGACCCCCCACTTGAAAGAATTAACTGGAACGCTGTTGACTTACACCCAAAATGGAGCTCGTAAAACAAATGAAATGATCATGGAGTGGCCAAGTTAAAGGAATATTTAACCTTATTAAATGTTAAGTATGAGGTTTGCTGTTGTGACTAATTTTAAGATGAATTTTAATTTCATTGTAATTTGAAGACAATTTTCAACTGTTTCTTTATTCTTTCTAATATTATTAAAAATGTGCTTGTCCTATGGACAAGTCATGTCAAAGGTTTGCATGTCAGAACTAAATTTCTACCTGTCCAGGACAATCGGACATAAGTTTTGGCGCACCCTGTTCTTAGAAGGGGTGAGAGTTAAGTTTGTGATAGAATGTAACCTCAAATGTACCACTTGATGTTAACTGTTACATGACTAAGTACAACATTAAAATGCCCAGTTTCATGTTTTATACAGCACGTAAAAAAGCAACAAAAAAACTCTTCTTTCTCTTTCTGAACTTGGATAATTAAGGCTGTTAGTGATTCAACTCCACAATAGTTTGGATATATCCAGGGAGGGAAAATAGGGAAAATATTGTTTGAAATTAAAAGTGAATTTGTGGTTTTTCAATACTTCAGTGCAGTTACTCCAACTTGCTTACTTTGCCAAAAGTATACTTTTGGCAAAGTAAGCAAGTTGGAGTAACTGCACTGAAGATTGAAAAACCACAAATTCACTTTTAATTTCAAACAATATTTTCCCTGCTGTTGCCATCCTCATATCTTTATTAAGGATTGTATACAGTCCTCTAAAAGGTGTGAAATGCTTCAAACAAATTTCATGCAAATTTTTTTCATTAGCACCACAAGAAATGGAGAGAGAACTGTATGAAGGGCTGAAAAAGGTAGCACTCACCATTCTTTGTTTGTGGGATGGACTGAGTAAACACATTTTTCCTCCACCACCATGAGTCTGGTAAATGTCACATTCTTTGTGTATGTTGTTAAAGTTTTAGCTTCAGGATCTACTACTGATTCTTCCACGATACAAGCAACTCTTGCACTTGTAAACTACAAAACAATAAGAAAAGCACTGCCATGATGAAAGATGCAGTGACAAAAAAATTGTTAATGTGCAGTTTATATACTCCTATAGATACATCAGGCTATTTCTTCGAAGTATTTAAGACACGATTTTTTTTTGGTCGCTTTTTATTCTTACATTTGTGTAAAATATGTCTCTCAAATTAAAACTGGTCAAAAATCTTGCAAAACCTATTTTATTCCCATACTTGTCAATTTGTCCACCCTATCATGTCACTCACATTGACAAGTATATGACATAGAATGGGTTGCAAGAATGTCAAGAATATAGAACAATTTACAACATGGCAGCAAAACCAAGGATTGTCATTGTCCATAATTTGCCAATCATCTTCAGAATCTTCATTTAATTTACTTCCCTATACTTTCTAGTTACAGTAAGAAAATTAAAAAAATGGTAAATTCCACAAAACAATCAGAATCCAGAATGAAGATAGAGAAAATCAACTGACATCATGTGATATCCTTAGCCTAACATTCATGATCCTCTATGCATTCCTAGAGTCTCTGCAACATTTCTGAAGGGGAAAAAGCAGTTTTTGGATGGTCAAATTCAAGAACTTTTTAGGAGACACAAAGTTCAGAATTGTCAATTAAAAAATTTTTGCATCATACACAAAGGAACCTCAATGAAATAAAGGGCCAAGAGACTGGTGAAAATGTTTGCTATAATGAGGTTTACTTCATCATTTGGAGGTTCTTTTCCATATATTTTTACTATACAGAGCTGGTGAAGAAAATCATTATGGAACAGCACCTGTAGATCTGCGTGGCCCGCCAAATTGTGGGTCCCATAATTCTGTGATGTCATTAGTCATACCAAGGGCTTCGTTATATAGAGGTTCATTAAACATATAGAGGTCCCACTGTACACTTAAATAAACACTGATATAAATAATAACAGAAACACTGACTCTGAGTGACCACTCTTGATTACAGTAACCACCACCTTGTTCACAGTCATATAATCATTTCAAACACTTATAGATAAATTACCGATATGAGGTACTTAGAAAAAGTGTGTGAAAAAATGAAAAGAGTACATTGCATTATTTTATACGATGTATAAATAGTCACCATTGATTCTCAAAATTGAGAACTGAGTCTCAAGACTAAAGCATCAAGAGCTGATGCCAGTGACTGTCAACCTACATTTACGCAGTACTGTTCTGCACACCTTGGAACACTATTTTATGTGTATATAGCATCAAAGATCAAAGGAAGAATCATAAATCAGTTGCTTACCCTTTCTGCCCATCTTGGTGGACTGTTTGTTTTCGTTACAAGTTTTTTGGTGACAAGTTTATTGCCTACTAAAGACCTGAAACAAATGACAATAATGTTATTTACAGCATAGTTTAATACTGGTGCATTTTATCTCTTCAATAAATGATTAAGAAACTATATTCATGTATTCCACTAATGTTGCTGTTCTAGGTAAAATAAATGCATTCTTAGGTTGAAAAGATCAATAAGAGTTCCTTAACTTAAGGAATTTTACAGAAAAGTAATATTTGATTTCTGGTGTGTGTGATTTTTTTCATTGCAGTTAATAAGGAAAGAAAAGGTTTAAGCCAGTGATATGAACTTTACTTACTAATCATGTACAGTACATTTATTGTATGGAAAAAGAACCTGTACTTGCACACACATCTCTTGTATGGACATGTCTCCTGCCAGTTCCCATACTTGTTACTACAGCCTCACATAATGTTGCAAATATAAATTCTCAAAACCAAAGTACAAATATCAAAAGAAGACTTGACAAGTATAACCAGTTGAAAACACTATTTCTAGCTGTATTAAGGGAGAAGTATGTGGCTACTCAAGGAAAAAATGTAGCTAACACAGTTTTTGCATATCTTCATAGTACAAAATCGTACATCTTCAACTGTAACGTAAATATCGAGCAATCAATGTCAATATCAAACAGAATAAATGAGAAAATAGACGTTATCATTTCCAGTTTGACTATGACTACAAGGAATTAGAGTGCACATGTACTATGGCAAGACCACATACACATTATTAGACACTAAAAAGTGTTTGGAAAGAAATGTACAGTAAGACTTATGTAAATTAGAATTTACAACGCAATCAATGGACAAAAATATTTACGAGCTGCTTGTCACGAAAGCCTACAACTTGCCACAGAAATAGAAAAGCAACAAGACACTCTGCATGCTTCCACAGAAATATAAGACATATTCACATAGCTAAAATATTTTAAACTGACACATCCAGAAATTAACTACATGAGCAAAATCACCTTTCTATGACATCCTCAGATAGCACGTGTCGACTAAACGGGTTCGGATATCGCCGCCAAAAAGCACTCGTAACTTGATCCCAGTTAAATCTGCGAACGGGAAAACCAATTTATTAGATGTCAAATCTATTGAAGCAAGTTTCAAAAAAAATTCAAGACTCATGTACTTACTTTAGCATGCAAATCGTACAGTAAAACTTCATGGCGATGTGCTTGACTACGATGGCCACCCATGAAATCAACACATTGCATTACGAAAGAAATGCCAGGTTACCAAGCAACAAGATCCAGTTTCGCGCGGTCAACGAAAAGTTAAAAGTAGGCGGCTTTAGGGGCGTAGTCGAGGCGGTGCAATTTGTAACAGCATATTTGGCATTAGCCTGTTCCAGGCTCCGAGATGGTGGTGGAAAGTCGTTCAGTAATAAGAAATGCGAAAAACGCGCGGGGGCTGGGGAGAGACATCGCCCCCTTTCCCAAGTTGTGCCCGTCTTATTTTCGCTTTGCTCGTTTTAATACGTTCCCACTATACTATCTGAGAGCCTGGCACAGGCTAATTTGGCATAAATACCACGAGTACTACTAGAGAAATTTCTGCAATTTGATTGGCTCAGAGCAGAGGTATTTCAGCTTAATTTGAAATACCTACATGTGAAAATTACAAACCTCTTGTGGGTAGTGGTATAAACAAATAATAGCATGACTTGTACGTGCATTTGGCAAAAACACCACTCGTGATATTTCAAAATTGTCTGAAATTTTACTTGCCTAACGGCTTGCGAAATTACGTATAACAATTTTTTGAAATATCACTCATAGTAGTTATGCCAAATATCACTACAAATCATGCTATTGCCTATACAAATACAGGAATATCCTTTATCCCTTGTTCATATGTATCCACAGAAACCTACACACCTGAAAATTGTTTATTGTTTATTGTTCAAAGTTCAAGTTTATTGTTTTGCTATAATTTATACAACTTGAATATTAAAAAGCTGATGGCGAGGAAGCCTAATGGCATTTTCAGACCTTTAATTATATTTTCTTCTCTTAAATCGGTCTGTGAAAACGCCTTGACATAGGCCTAGTTTGGGAGTCGCTCGCTCCCAGATTATTAGGCTGATTTAGCAACAGAACGGGAACGTCAGTTAACGACGGCGCGCGCAAATCAAACAACTGGCTTGACCAATGGCAGAGCGGCAAATTGAGCACCGGAAGTCGTGTTTAGTCCTTTCCGCACACTTTCCCGTTGTCAACTGACTTCCCCGTCCTGTTGCTAAATCAGCCTATTGCTCTTGATTCACATTTCATGGCTCACATAGTTCTCGTTAGTGTAGTCCCATGCCTACTAGATCAACAAACAATTGTGGTCTGCCCGTTAACACAGACGTCATTTTGCGGGGAAACTAGTGGTGGCATAGCCTGTGAACAGGCTCTCTGTTTCGCGAAGGGTGAAAAAATCGCGGGAAGAGGGATTAGTTAACCCTTTCCCCAAAAAGAGAGCCTGTTCACAGGCTAGTGGTGGCGTCGCGAAATATCAGCTGTTTTCTCAGGTTACAAAAATTTAGGTTGAAAATCCCGGCGGGTGGACTCTCACAGACTCGTGAAGGGGAGGCTCTTCGTCTCCCTTAGGGGTGAAAATTGCAACAAAGCCACGCCCAGATTTGTGCTCTTTTGGGGGTTAACTCTGAATTTTCGCCACTCGTCTCCGTCTCTTTAACACTAGAGAAAACCTAGGGAAAAGGATTCATTGACCATATAATGGATAGTTTTTTCACTAGTAATTAGATTTTATCCGTTCACAGCTTCCTTTGTTGAGTCAATTGTTCCTTTACTAGACTCAACAAAGAAAAAGAAAAGTTGCTTTTGGTAGTGCTATTTTTTTATCCATTCGTTTACTTGCACCTAATAAAATACTTTTTTGACTTATACAAAAAAGTTCAAAATCGCAAACAAAGAATGGTTATGTCTACTATGTCTTTAAACGGGATCCCGGAAGGCTGAAAAGTATTAAGATACATACGTTCGGCATTGTCGTAAGGGTTGAAAAAAACCGATCTTGTTCTTATGATAATTGTACGTGATAAATTTCGTTAATAGCGTTCCCTGCTAGATTTTGTTCATGATTACGATCGTCGTTAAATCGCTGGTGGAAACCAAGCCTAAACGTCTTAATTAATCTAAAATAGAAGCACCATGATTCAAAAATAAGAAAAGGTTTATTAAAACTATTTAATAAATATACAATTTGAAATGACACAAAATATAATTACAACTTATAATGAATCTCATTTGAGTGCAGACAGTGTACGCATCAAACAGATTCCTTGCAGAAGTCGCAATAGGCCCAGATGGGCTCCTGGCCCCGACGAATCAGCCCTAGTACCACCTGGTAAACACAAGAAAAAGAAAATTAGAATTTTTAAAAAATGGACCGAGTAATATTAAAAGATTATTGTATTTCAGAAGCCTATAATCCAGAGCATGCGCACAACTACCCTTCCTTAGCCTATGCAACGGCGTTTGCACAAATCTTTTCCCACAAAAAGAAGCTGTAGCATGATGTATATAAAAATGAATAGCAAATATCATCGGAACATCAAATGTTATTTTCTGGCCTCCATTTATTACTTGCCCGTTTTTGAAAACTTTCTTTGACAGTCAAATTTAAGAAAAAAATGAAATATCAGTTCGTATGTAATGTGAAAGTGAGTAAATCGCTCCGGGGTATTGGCTTGTGGTATTTTTAAAAAGCGTACGCTGTTAATGGAGTGGAGTGAAGGAGTATGGGATAGTGAAAAAAGGAATACAAATTGCTTGCGAAAAAAATGGCCATAAAACAGGAATCTGTTAAACTAGGTGTTTCTCCTTAGGTTCCTAAATTTTCTCAGTCCTCTTCCTAAAAAAGTCCAGAGTTCCCATTGAAAAAATCCCGTAAAAAAAGAGAAACATCCACACAAGAGTTTTTTCTATGGCGTAAGCGCTCCTCCCCTAAATCCGGGGACTTTTATTTGAAACTGTCAATCAATCTTCCCGCGCGTAACGTAATTTCCGGTAAAAATGCACTTCCGGTTCGCTCTTACAAACACTTCTTTTAGAAAAAAGGCACAAGAAATAATCCTTAACACTAGGTATCAGTGACGATTGTAATGGGCATGACGATGACGTTGATGGTTATGATCGATTATGAAAATGACAAAAAAGGTTAAGAATAATGTTGAAGATGATGATTAAGAAGATAACGATTATCACGATAATGATGATAATGATGATGATAAGGTGCTAACGATTTCAAAACTGAATAAAAGTAAACCAGCCTGTCAGCTGTTCAGCAGCTTGATGTCAAGATATAGGAAGGTTTAGGTTGATAAGCATAATGAATGGGAGAAGTCGCTGTGTAGAAAGAAACTTTTTGTTAAAAAATTACTGTTACACCGGCTCAAGGCTTAATATCTCGCATGCTGCACGCAAAAAACAGGGAGGCGTGTTAAGTAAGGGGTGAAAACGAATGTATTAAGCTATTGAGAACGGTTATGATTAAACCAAAGAAAAACAGAACAAGACACACTACAACATTTAAGATCAAATAATATCAAACTAAACGGCGAATCGCGTTTCTATTTTATCCCGGTAATTGGTTCCCCAAAATTAAAATGGTCACAGAGAGGTGTAAAAAGAGCAAAGGGCATAAACTTAAGCCCTATGGGACTCCTCTCTGGGCATGCAAGGCTGGAAAGCACACAAAAGACTGAATGTGATACTTAAGTCAATACTTTGTTGCAGTTGAATCAGGAAAACCTACATCAGTCTACGAGATGGCTCGAATCCTAGCGGCTGTTTACTTTGAGGCAGAAAGATCCTGCGTTTATTTTGGTTTACATACAAACATTCAGAATATGTGGGAGACACGTCACAAGACCACGTCACTGATTATGGCGTCATAACGTTCTATGATATTCTGACAAGAATTCCTTCTCAACTCAAAGAACCAGAGCATCCATAACGTATAATACCTCGGTTATTTACTCAGAATAAAATATAATGCGTACTTGTTGGGACCATTTGTTTGAAACGACGGGCGGAATTCCTGCGCGTCAGGGTTTAAAGTATGTTGGCTTTGAGCTTGATCGGCAATGCTGAAATGTAAAAAACACAACGAGCAAGGGTAACCAACGCGTTTTAGTCTCCCAAAGAGCTCTGCCATACAAAAGAGAAACAAGGTCCAGACACACAACGGATCGGGTTTCTTTTCTTATTATTGTACTAGTTTGTCATAATTTAAATGTTCACAAGCGCGTGCAAAAATAAAAGAGGGCCTAAAACTGAGCCCTGTGGGACTCCTCTGTGTGGGCTTGCGAGGCTAAAAAGCTCACCGAAGACTGAATCTGATAAGTAAGCCAATACTTCGTTGCAGTTGAGCTAGTGAGATTCGCTGCAAGCTAAGTGCTATCAGGAAAACCTACAATAATCTACGAGTTGGCTCGAATCCTAGCAGATATTCACGTGGACGAAGAAAGATCCTAGGAGAAGGAACAGCGTTTATTTTGGTTTACTTGCAAACTGTCCAGTGAGAGGCTAAGTCAAAAGACCTCGTTACTGATAATAGTGTCATAACGTTCTATGAATTTCTGACATGAATCCCTTCTCAACTCAAAGAACCAGAACGCCTATAACACACAATACCTCAGCTGTTTTTTCTTATAACTAATAAATGTTCATATTGCGCAATAGAATAAAATATAATGCGTACCTGTTGGAATCATTTCTTTGAAATCTTTCAGATCTTCCAAACGACGGGCGAAATTCTTGCGCGTCAGGGTTTAGAGTATGTTGGCTTTGAGCTTGAAAGGCAATGCTGAAATGTCTGAAACACAACAAGCAAGGGTAATCGACTAGTTTTAGTCTACCAAGAGTTCTGTTACAAAAGCAAAGAAAGGCCCAGACACACAACAAAATCTTAGATCAAAGGGCATTAAATTTAACGGATCGGGATTCTATTGTATTCTTGTACTAGTTCTTCGTAATTAAAATGGTTACAGGCGCGTGTACCATGAGAAGAGGGCATAAAATTGAGCCCTGTGGGACTCCTCTGCCTTAGCTTGCGAGTCTGGAAAGCACATCAAAGACGGACGCTAATACCGTAAAATTCCGAAAATGAGCCCCTCCACGTACAAGCCCCTCCAAATATAAGCCCCCAAACCGGTAACGCAAAAAACCTTCTGTTAAATAGCCCCTCCAAATATAAGCCCCCCGGGGGCTTGTACTTGGAAAATTACCCTCAAATACAAAGTAAAGCAAAGCAAAAACGGTAAATTCACTTCCAACTATAAGGCTAGCCCAATCGATTTTAAAACGCAAATTTCGCTCCTTAGATAAGCCCCTCCAAAAATAAGCCCCTCAAAAATATAAGCTCCAGGGCTTATTTTCGGAATTTTATGCAGTTGAGATAGTGAGATTCGCGGGAAGCTAATTGCTAACAGAAAAACCTACAATGATCTTCGAGTTGGCTCGAATCCAGGCGACTGCTTACATGGAGGCAGAAAGATCCTAAGAGAAGGAACAGCGTTTATTTTGGTTTATGCAAACATTCCGGAAAGAGGCACGTCACTGATTATGGCGTCACAACGTTCTATGAATTTCTGACAAGAATTCCTTCTCAACTCAAAGAACCAGATCATCCATCACTTACAAGACCTAAGTTTTTTAAATATTTAACGTTCATAGTGCGAAATAGAATAAAATATAATGCATACCTGTTTGGACCATTTCTTTGAAACCTTTCAGATGCTTCAAGCGAAGGGCGGAATTCCCTTGCATCAGGGTTTAAAATATGTTGGCTTTTTGCCTGATCGGCAAGGCTGAAATGAAAAAAAAAACACAACAAGCGAGAGTAACCAACGCGTTTTAATCTACCAAAAGCGCTATTACAACTGCAAAACAAGGACTAGACACACAAAAAAATTTTAGATTGAAAGGCATCAAATTAAAGGATCGGGATTCTATTATATTCTTGTACTACTTCTTCGTGATTAAAATGGTACAGGCGCATGCAAAAAGAGAAGAGCGCATAACATTGAGCCCTGTGGCACTCCTCTTCCTGGGCGTGCGAGGCTTGCAAGCACACCAAAGACTGAATGTGATATTCGAACCAATACTTTATGGCAGTTGAGGTAGTCAGATTCGCAGGAAGGTAATTGCTGTCCGGAAAACCTACAATGATCTTCGAGTTGGCTCGAATCCTAGCGGCTGTTTACATGGAGGCAGAAAGATCCTAAGAGAAGGAACGGCGTTTATTTTGGTTTACATGCAAACATTCCAGTGAGAGGGCACGTCAAAAGACCACGTCTGATTATGGTGTCACGACGTTCTATGAATTTCTATTAAGAATTCCTTCTCAACTCAAAGAACCAGAACACCAATTACATACAATACCTCAGTTTTTCTTTAAATATTTAAGGTTCATAGTGCGCAATAGAATAAAATATAATGCGTACCTGTTGGAACCATGTGTTTGAAAGCTTTCAGATGCTTCAAGCGACGGGCGGAATTCCCTTGCGTGAGGGTTTAAAGTATGTTGGCTTTTAGCCTGATCGGCATTGCTAAAATGAAAAAAAAAAAAACAGAACAAGCGAGGCAAATTAAAGGGATCAGGTTTCTATTATATTCTTGTATATAAGTTCTTCATGATTTAAATGGCCACAGGCGCTTGCTAAAAGAGAAGGGGGCCTAAAATTGAGCTATATGGGGCTTCTCTGTCTGGACTTGCGAAGCTCGAAAGCACACTAATGACTGAATGTGATACTTAAGCCTATGCTTTGTTGCAGTTGAGCTGGCGAGATTCGCGCAAAGGTAATTGCTATCACCCTACAATGATCTTCGAAATGGCTCGAATCCTAGCCGCTGTTTACTTGGAGGCAAAAAAATCTTAGGAGAAGGAACAGCGTTTATTTTAGTTTACATGCAAATATTCCAGTGAGAGATCACGTCACTGATTATGGCATCATAACGATATATGAATTTCTGACAAGAAATCCTTCTCAACACAAAGATACAGAACACCTATAACATATAACACCTCATTTTTTTCTTACAATTAATTAAAGTCCATAGTGCGCAATAGCGTGAAATATAATGCGTACCTGTTGGAACCATTTGTTTGAAGTCTTTGAGATGCGCCGAACGACGGGCGGAATTCATTTGCTTTAGGATTTAAAGTGTGTTGGCTTTGAGCGTGATCGGCAATGCTGCAATGTCAAAAAATACAACAAGCTAGCCTTAGGGTAATTAATACGTTATAGCGAACCAAGAGCTCTGTTACAAAAACAAAACAAGGCCCAGACACACAACAAAATTTTAGATCCAACAGCATCAAATAAAACTGATCGGGTTTCTGTTATATTCTTGCACTAGTTTTTCATAATTTAAATGGTCACAGGCGCGTGGAAAAGAGAAGAGGGCCTAAAATGGAGCCATGCGGGACTTCTCTATCAAGGCTTTTGAGGCTGGAAAGCACACCAGAGACTGAATAGATTTGTCTTCGTTCAGATAAGTAGCACCTTAGTTATTTTTGACAAATTTTTCTCAAAGGACCAAGACATCCGTACCATGCAAGGCCTCGTTTAGTTTGGGCTCGATTTCCGCCGCTGTCTCGGTCCTCCTCGAGAAGAAACGGCTGGACGCGTGAGTGGCTAACGTGTCTGTGACGTAAACTCAATATTTAATTTATGCGTTGTTACGAAGCTTTTGGAATGAGAATGTCATTAAATACCGAACTCATGATGTGTTTTGCCTCGTCGCCGCTTTGATACTTGCCATAGTAAAAATCAGCAGAAACACGTACAAATTGTATTTACATTGATCTTGCATTACCGATGGACTTGACAATCATCTCTCTAAATTCACGTTAGCTGTCAACAACCATAGTTCCGGTTGGTTGAATTTCAAAAACATTCTTAGCATTTGCCAGCTTCTCCAAGCTAATGTAAATGTAAATAGGTTTTTATATAAGCTTAAAGCGCTCTAAAACACAATCGCGCACGACATCAAACAACACTTTTGTACCCGCTGTTTGAAATCTGCTCCAGGAAAAGGAAATTTACGCTGCCTGCTCGATTAGAGCAGATAACCATCTGATTGGTGGTAATTGACAATAACAAATTCGTCCGTCCAGCCGTCTGTTTAGTTGAGGAGCGCGGGCTCATTTCCCTAACAGGGTCTGGTAATCGAGCCTGTGCCTCGTTTAGTTCTCAAGAATGATAATCGCCCTTTATGTGTGCACCTACCTTAATGCATACCCAAGCTCAAGTCTGTTAGAATCATTTGTTTTAAATCCATCCAATTCTCGTAAAGAAGGCATAAACTCTTCGGCTTGAGCGTTTAAAAAATGTTGGCATCCAGCTTGTTCGACAGTGCTGAAATATAAAAAAGTCAACAGGGACGATAATCAACACGTTTTAGTTTGTCCTGAATCCTGTCACCGGCAAGAAGAGGCAAGACACACAAGAACATTTTAGATCAAGTAATTTCAACTTAAACGGATCGGCTGTCCCTTTCATTCTTCATGATTTAAATGGTCACAGGCACGTGTAAAAGGAGAAGAGGACCTAAAATTGAGCCATGTGGGACTCTTCTGTCTATGCTTGCAAGCCCGGAAAGTACACCAGAGACTGAACAGACTTATCTACGTTCGGATAATTAGGACTCTGAAACAGTTTGTTGGAGTTGAGCTAGTGTAACACTTGGCAAGCTTTGCTATCAGGATAACTTTTAGAATTGAGTTAAGGTACAGTGTTTTAAATTTCTCAGTTTCTTGGCATTTAAAACGTGTTTGTATTCAGTGTTTGCAGTGATGCTGAAAACAATATCAAACGGTTAAAAAAGCCAATATGCAACGATTCAAAACGATAACCAACACGCTCCAGTTTGTCACAACAAGATTTTAGTACACTTAATACTAAATATTATCAATGCAACCACAGTAGTATATATACCCAAGCTCTTGTCTACTGAAATCTCAATAAACTGACGGATTTCAAACAAAAGTTCTGTTTTAAATCCACCAGTTGCTTAAAATGACACCATGGGGATAAATTCCTTGGCTTTAGCGTTTTTTAAAACATGTTTGTATAATATGTATTCAACGTTTGCTGGAATTTAAGAAAAAGACACGATGCAACGATAACAAACACGTTTCATGTTGTCCCAAAAAGATTCTAGTACAAAAAATTCTACAGAGTATCAACTACAGCAATATATACCCAAGCTTAAGTCTGCTGAAATCTCAAGCAACTGGCGAACTGATTAAGACAGAAGTTCTGTTTCAAATCCACCAGTTGCTTGAGATGACGTCGCGGGGATAAATTCCTTGGCTTTAGCGTTTTTTAAAACATGTTTCTATTAAACGTTTGCTGTGATGCTGAAATTTTAAAAAAAGAAAACATGCAACGATAACCAACACTTTCTAGTTGGTCACAACACGATTTTAGTACACTAAATACCCTTACTCGAGTCGTTGAGTGTTCTTTGATTTCGTGGGCAGTCTGTGCATGTTTCTTAGTGCGAGAAATCGAGAAAAGAGGTTGTCGGTTTATAACCAATTGTTCACGTCAGGTAATTATCCAATACCATCGTGCCCTTCGTGTTTCGGTGGTTTTGCGTTGCGACTTTCGCTTAGAAAACTACAAGGCGAGCTAAACTTTCGTAAATATTTCATATTACTTTTTTCGTATTAAAATCTCTTTCTTTTCTAAATATTCCGTACATCAAAGCCTGGTCAAGAAACTATTGACTATTTTTAGTTTATTCTTACCCGGGGGAAGCGGGTATTGACGGTAATTTTTGGTAGTTCTGCAAATCCTGTCTCTTATTCAGACTTAAAAATGTTATTTTCCACACCCGTTTTCAGCCCCGGTCTCTTAAATCCATACCCGTTTTTAGACTTGTTATATGTAGAAATGAAGTTATCATTTTTAGACTATAGTTCAAACAAAAACATTTCTTAAGATCCATTTCGAATTCGCATATTACCCTTTGTTTCGGATTCATTCGGAATTGAAACGAAAAATACGTTCATACACTTCCATAGTTTCCTCGAAACCATATCCGATTCCAGACAAAATGAGCAAAATCTATTCCCGTTTTGAGACCGAAACGGCGCAAAAACCCTACCTTTTGGGGCGGCACATACCTACATGGTTTATATAAGAGAATCCCCCCTGGTTTCTCAAGGCTGATTTAGACGGCAAGATTTTTGCTTACGACTTTCGCGCGCAATTAGCATGCGACTTCTCGACAGATCGTGTCGCATAAATTAGACCCACGACACTCGTACGGCACATTGCGGATGTCGTAGGTATAAATTGCACGCGTTGTGGATGGTTGAAAGTCACGACGTATGCTAGTCGCGCACGATAGTCGTAAGCAAAAATTGTAGCGTCTAAATCGGCCTTTAAACAACCCAGCTAATTGTAAGGGTAATTCCCTAAGGCGACACACAATAATCTTTGATTACTACTAGTATCAAATTTAACAGATTCGGTTTTCGATTTTATTCTTGTATTGTGTCTTGGTAAATACCGTCAAGGATGAAGAGATCGTTCACTTTCCCTTCTCATTCTGTTGAAGGAAAGTCTTACCCAGTTTGTTCGAAATCTCTGTTGCACAAAGTCTTGTTTGCAATAAAATGATCTTTAAAATCCGAGAATTCAGTTGCATAATCAACCTGACGAAAAAAAAACACATACATATTGAAACGAAGTATTCGTTCCAATGATTTTCAAACATGAACTGGAGCATCTTTAGTTGTATTTATTTTTTCGGACTTCAAGCCACAATAAGGGACATTTGTTGAGACACTTCTATGAAATGGCCCCTTTTTGCATAGTGGACATACCTATCCTCTCCTCCCCTGTGTACCCACTCCCCCAAAATAAATGTTGCATTTTAGACCCTCAAGTCTTTCTTTTACTTCAACAACATGGATTCGGGGGTAGGAGGATTTACGGCGTTTAAATAGAATGAAATAATGAATGAATGAAATTGCTGATAAAAGCACCCCCGTTTTAGACACATGGCAATTGCAAGTGTGTCAACTACTTTTGCCACAAGTGATCTCCTTGCCATCAAATGATCTCTTAGTCATAAACTGACAAGTTGCAATTCAGGAGTGAGTTGATGAGTCACAGTCTTTATTCTTAAAGGAAATTGAACGATCTCACTTACACTTTTTAATTCCAACGAACTTTCGTTTAAAATGATGTTGCCTGTTTTTACTTCTGCAGCTTGAACTTCATCATCATAGATTGTGGAGTCATCCTTACCATTCTCCATCTGATTTGAACCATCGCTGAAAAACGCACTATCCTTTTTTGCTGGAACTGACTCGTGAGTGATTTTTGCGAAATGACTCAACTCGAGAGGAATGTCGGCGGTTGCCGATTCACTTTGTGAATCAAAAGCAAGTTCGGGTGCGTGCAATCCACTAACAGTTCTGGATTTCACTTCTGCTGGGCTGAATTCATGTTCAACGTCAGAGAAAACTTCTTCTTTTTCGAAAGTTTCAGTTACTTCGGTCACACTTTGAAACTTCTCTGCTCTCTCGGGTTTAAGGGCACTTACGTCTTCCCATTCTAAAGTGAACTCATGAACTACACTGCTTGGCTTGTCAACTTCAGCGGGGATATCATTCAAGGTTTCATTGACGCTTTCAAACACCACTGTATTGTCAGACTCGAGTTCGATCACATCATTTGATTCATACAGGACGGCCTGGATTGTTTCTGCTGCCGAAGCAATGTCCTCTGCCTTAGTGATGCTTTCCAGTTCACTAACACTGCTGGTTCTTACATCTGCCGTCAAATCTTGAGCTGTAACGTTCACAATTTCTTCTTCTAAGAGTATCTCAGTGACCCCACCTACACTTTCCAACTCGATGGCAAAGTCAGGAAACGATTTACAAACAGCGCTGTTTTTCACTTCTGCTGCACCAAATTCATGTGCAACACAAGAAACAACTTTTTCTTGATAATTGCTGTCAGTCACTGCATTAACACTTTCAGCCTCGGATGAAGTTTGTGGTTCAAAAACACCGACGGTTTCCCATTCTAATGTGCACTCGTGAGCTGTGCCGTTGAGTTTGTCGTCTTCAACAGAGAGGTCATTCAAGTTTTCATTAAAGCTTTTGAGCACGACTGGAACCCCATGAGTCTCGAGCTTAACCACATTATCAACTAAACTATTGATCACTCCCTGTGCTATCTGTGCATCGGATGCATTTTCTGGTTGATTTGCACCTTCATCATCCCACTCTAACATGAACTCTAGCGTTGTGGTGTTAAACTTGTCACCTTCAAGGTGGAGGGCATTCAAAGTTCCTCTGACCACTGGAGCTTTTGCCTCAACGGTCGCAGTCACATTATCAATTAACTCATTGACAATCTCCTGGATGATCTCTGCCTCGGATATAGCTTTTGGATTATTAATTGCACTTTCATTATCCAACTCTAACATGCACTCGTGCGCTGTGCCGTTTAACTTGTCACCTTCAAAATGGAGGGTATTTGAAGTTTCTCTGACGACTGGAGCTTTTACCTCAACGGTCGCAGTCACATTATCAATTAACCCATTGACAATCTCCTGGATGATCTCTGCCTCGGATGCATCTTTTGGATAATTAATTCCATTTTCATTATCCCACTCTAACATGCACTCGTGCGCTGTGCCGTTTAACTTGTCACCTTCAAGGTGGAGGACATTCAAAGCTCCTCTGACGACTGGAGCTTTTACCTCAACGGTCGCAGTCACATTATCAATTAACTCATTGACAACATCCTGGATGATCTCTGCCTCGAATGCAGCTTCTGGATAATTAATTGCACTTTCATCATCCCACTCTAACTTGAAATCTAGCGTTGTGGCGTTAAACTTGTCACCTTGAAGGTGGAGGGCATTCAAAGTTTCTTTGACGACTGGAGCCTTTACCTCAACGGTCGCAGTCACATCATCAATTAACTCATTGACAACATCCTGGATTATCTCTGCCTCGGATGCAGCTTCTGGATTAATTGCACTTTCATTATCGCACTCTAACATGAACGCGAGCGTTGTGCCGTTAAACTTGTCACCTTCAAGATGGAGGGCATTTGAAGTTTCTCTGACGATTGGAGCCTTCGCCTCAACGGTCGCAGTCACATCAACTAACTCATTGACAACATCCTGGATGATCTCTGCCTCGGATGCAGCTTCTGGATAATTAATTGCACTTTCATCATCCCACTCTAACTTGAAATCTAGCGTTGTGGCGTTAAACTTGTCACCTTGAAGGTGGAGGGCATTCAAAGTTTCTTTGACGACTGGAGCTTTTACCTCAACGGTCGCAGTCACATCATCAATTAACTCATTGACAACATCCTGGATTATCTCTGCCTCGGATGCAGCTTCTGGATTAATTGCACTTTCATTATCGCACTCTAACATGAACGCGAGCGTTGTGCCGTTAAACTTGTCACCTTCAAGATGGAGGGCATTTGAAGTTTCTCTGACGATTGGAGCCTTCGCCTCAACGGTCGCAGTCACATCAACTAACTCATTGACAACATCCTGGATGATCTCTGCCTCGGATGCAGCTTCTGGATAATTAATTGCACTTTCATCATCCCACTCTAACTTGAAATCTAGCGTTGTGGCGTTAAACTTGTCACCTTGAAGGTGGAGGGCATTCAAAGTTTCTTTGACGACTGGAGCTTTCGCCTCAACGGTCGCAGTCACATTATCAATTAACTCATTGACAATCTCCTGGATTATCTCTGCCTCTGATGCAGCTTTTGGATAATTAATTGCACGTATATTATCCCACTCTAACATGCACTCGTGCGCTGTGCCGTTTAACTTGTCACCTTCAAGATGGAGGGCATTTGAAGTTTCTCTGACGACTGGAGCCTTTGCCTCAACGGTCGCAGTCACATCAACTAACTCATTGACAACATCCTGGATGATCTCTGCCTCGGATGCAACTTTTGGATAATTAATTGCACTTTCATTATCCAGCTCTAACATACACTCGTGCGCTGTGCCGTTTAACTTGTCACCTTCAAGATGGAGGGCATTCAAAGTTTCTCTGACGACTGGAGCCTTTACTTCAACGGTCGCAGTCACATTATCAATTAACTCATTGACAACCTCCTGGATTATCTCTGCCTCGGATGCAGCTTCTGGATTAATTGAACTATCATTATCCCACTCTAACATGCACTCGTGCGCTTTGCCGTTAAGCTTGTCACCTTCCAGATGGATGTCATGCAAAATTTCTTTGACGACTGGAACCTTTGCTTCAACGGCCGCAATCACATTATCAATTAACTCATTGACAGTCTTCTGGACTATCTGAGCCTCGGATAAATTGTCTCCAATAGCCAAGACTCCTTCTGAGTTAGAAACATGAAGCGCAGAAGCTTGGACGGTTTCCACATCGGTGCACGCCTTAAAAGCAGCGTCACACTCTGGCGCCAACCTGTCAGTGTTGACAGTAACACTGCTTGCAGATGCTTGGATAGGAAGCTGTGAATTTAAAAGCGAAGAGTCACGTAAGTTGCAAAGCGGAGAGTGCTGATTTTTCTTTGAAAACAAGGATTGACCCGTGAAAGAATGGTCCCGAGTTCGGTTCTTAGGCGTGACCTCAAATATCTTTTTTCGACGTATTTCACTTCCATGTAGCTTTTAGTAGTATTAAATACCCGCAAAACAGTGCACTGATATATGAAGGGAGGGGAGTCTGAGGGGATAGGGGAGGCTACTGGCCTCAGGGTTGTCCGTCAGGCCCCGGTTGTTCAAACATCGGATAGCGCTATCCATCGGATAAATCACTATCCAGTGGATAAGTATTAGGAAAACCGATTGCAATATCCACTGGATAGATATTTATCCACTGGATAGCGTTATCCACCTTCTGAACAACTAGGCCCAGATGATGACTAGTTTACTCTTGAAGAAATTCATTAGGCTAGAAATTTCAAATATCTAATCAAATGTTCTTAAAGCATAGCCCGAAAAAGTTGAGCAGGAAAGCGAAAACTTCAAGAGAACTCTTGTAAAAAAATAAGGGAAATAAAATATTGGTGGTGTTGTTGAGATGGATTTACGAAAGCATACGTATTTAAAGGACGGAAACTCCTACCATGGCTAGGGATAAGGGAGCATACCAGCTCCTATGTGGACGCAAATGATTTCCACCCCCAGCCATGGAGGAGGGTTGGACTCGACAGATTGACTTTGCACCTTCACCTTCAGAAGCTTATTTAGGGCTACTGACACAGACGCGGATCTAGGATAAATACTGACCGATTTCCTAAACGAGGGGCCGAGGGAGCAAGCTTCTGGAGGAGCCCGGATGCACCCCCGGGAATTTTTTTGGGTTTTAATTCCCTGAAGTTCCCTTTCCCCGGTTTCTTTCTAATGCCCGTAAACTGGAAAAAGAAAACATTTGTACAGACCATTTTCCAGATTTCAACTTGGAAAGTTCTTCTATTATTATTAAAAATATATTTATTATGAAAAACCTGACCGATTTCCGTAAAACGGTGGAAACCGGTGTGGATCCGCGCCTGTGACACCTGTGACGTTTTTAGTTTTAATAAAGATTGCTGCCAGTCATCGAAACTGTCAGCATAATTAGGATTTTTCATTCGGGCTGTGCTTTTAGAACATTTGAACAGATGAATAGTTAAAGCTACTTATTTTTTAAGTAGCGGCCCTTTACCCTTTGACATTTTAAAGCTATTGATTGCATTGTACTTGATTTTTGTCGCAAGGAACAAACTATTAGCCCCCAAATACTTTGCTGTGGTGCCGCTTTATTAAATTAGTTGCGACGTTACCTTCACTTAGTGGTAACAGGACCCTTATACTGCTAATAGCAACAAAGAGAGGACTAAGAGGACAATCCTTTTTTCGAGCCAATTATCCTGTCTCCTTGCACGTTATCTTCTTTCCTGAAGGCCCTCTTTGCCTGTCCACTGGACAAGTGTAACGCGGCCTTTAGGAAAGAGAGTTTTCCCATATGCACAGCAGAGAACGTAGTTTTAAAAGGTAGACTGTAAATCTATCAGTTATTTTTACATTAAAACATTTTTATTACCGTCTGTTGTGCTTGATCTATCTTCCGACTTATATTAAGATTACTATTCTTGATCCTAAAAAAAAAAAAGAAATAAGAGAAATAAACGAGTATTTTTACACAGTCATAAACGTCCGTAATAACATTCTAACTTTCGATACTATTTTAGTGATTGAAGCTTTATCGAGAAAAGGAATCTTTAAATGTCGTTAGGAAGAACTTTGTTGCTGAAATTTTACTATTTTTGTTCAGTTTTGCAATTTGTCGGGCAACCAACAAAAACACTTAGAACTGTAATTACATTTTTTTCAAAGTGTTACGTTTTTTTAACGCGTGCTGTCCTTAACAAAAACAAAAACAAAAGCGCGAACGCGAGTGCGTCTCAGAAAAGATCATAAAGCTAATCAACACGAAAAGGCCTTTTAGGTGTTTATCAACAAGCGTACTATAATTAAAAATTTATCTAAGTCCACTTTTAAACTAAATAGCAAAGAGGAGGAAATAGCAAAGAGGAGGAAGACTTCAATTTGACTGGACTTCACTTCACTTTGGTGTTTGAACTTAATCTCGTATGTTGCGCACGAACGTACTTTTCTTTCGCTGAAATATACAATAAAAATTCAAAACTACCTTTGTTGAGGTATCACTTTTAGTGCTGTAGGCACCCTTGCACGAAAGCAAAAATTCCACAGCCTGTTGGCTGCGATATAACCAACCCAAAAAGAAGCGAAAACCATCTTGCTAATTGGTAGGAAAGTTTAAAGTTTCCATTGTCTACGTCACAATTATTAGTACGTCAATTATGGAATTTAGAATGCTGCGCGCGCGAATCCTTTGTTTTCGTCATCACAAAACGACATCATTCGTAAATCCATTTAAAAACAACGATTTTGTCCGTTATCGAGATTTAGCAAACACAAGTTTCCAAAGGCCGGGACTTAAGACACACCTTTCCTTGACGATGCTGAACAGTACTTTTAAAAGGTTGTATAGATCCTTTTCTCATGACGTCACTTCCGCCGCCATGTTGTTGTTCAAAACCATAAAACGGCGGCCATGTTGCGTTTCCAAACCAGACCGCTTTGCGATTTATTTTATTTACTTATATAAACGATTTCTTTTGTCGCAACAAAGTTCCATAGCTAGGCTGGCCACGTGAGTTAAAACCCTCTTTAGTTTTTGTTAGATTGTTGTAGCGCACTTTCTGGGGTAATTTTCATTTTGAGAGTTTCATGATTTTTAAAGCACTGAACACAGCTCGCATAATTTCCCTTTTTACTTCCTCAAAAATAAACAGTCTCAAAAGCACTTTCTACTTACTCACCTCCGCTGCGGGCGTCCATGTTGTGATGTGAACTTCAGGACTAGTCCAAAAAGACTTCCGACAATGCCAGGAGTCGAGGCACATCTTCAAAACACTGTACTCGCCCAGGATCAACCGCAATTTTTCAAGCACTTGTACTCGGTGATCTTTAACCACGCGCGCGTACAGATCTCGACGCGCTCGTGTCAACTAGCTATTTGTATACGCTGCAAATATCAACGAACTTTATTTTTGAACATGATCCCTGAAGAAAACAGTATTACGAGATTGTTGGTAATCTAACAGGAAAATATAGCGTTGTAACTAAAAATCTTCTTTGCACCAGCTTTAGTGTGGTTTGTTCTACGGCTAAGGGTTGATTTCCACTGTCAGGTAATTTTATCCGTGCGAACACATGTAAATTTTACACTCGTAAATAAAATAGAGGCTATGTAACAACGGCCACGCGTAAACGTAAAAGTTGAACCTCGCTCAACTTTTACGTTTACGCAAGGCCTTCATACATTGCCTCTGTTTCATTTACGCGCGTTTGTACGGCAAAATTACTCGACACTGGAAATAAAACCCTGATAGCAGCTTACAAGCAAGTTATGGCAGTGAGATGAAACGCAGCTCCACAACTATCATAACTTTGAAGGGGAAAGATAATTTATTTTTCACTCTTACGTAACCTGTGCCCGTTTTTTTTAATGACTACAAGCTAGAGCTGAGGGAAAAGCAAATGGCAACCGAATACTCCAGCTATCTTATTTTCTTGATCGATTTTTCCCCTCTCCCCCCGGGGACTCTCTAGTTTTGGGGGGGAGGGGGACTGTGCGTTCTTATTTGGGGCTTACTTGAATTTCAATTTTTTAGAAATTGATAACTCAGGTCTTTATTCACAGATCTTGTTTTACAGTTTTATCGTAAATGAGGTCTATTTTACTTTAATTGCACCAATCGTTAACAACCAACGAGAACGAATGTTTAAAGTGACCGCCGTTGAATTGGCATTTTGAGGTAAATATAAGGTAATATAGGAATGTGAATGCTTCAACCATTTGTATATTTTAATGTCAGGAAAGCTGGGGACTCATAACATAGAGTACTTTCACCAAGCGACCAACAAAAATGCGAACAAAGATTAATTTAGTGGTTGCTTACGGGAGATGGTCTAGAATTGATCTACAGGGGGTTTCTTCTTAGAAGAGGTTTGAACATATCAACATTTTGGAAGAGGATTAATAGCTGACCATGCTATTCTGAGTTACAATACGTGTAGTTTCATGTTGACACTGATAGTCCTTCGCAAACTCTGTATTGTTCAGGGCATTCACCGACCATGGAGAACAAAACATGCACCAAGTGGTCGCTTACAAGAAGGTAAAAATAATGGAAAATTTCAAAACTGCAATGCAAAAAATTGGTCGCGTTCGCTTACGAGGGATCCAACTGTAGTGACTGAAAAATAATTTGTGTTTTAGAACGATGCGACCGCGAACTGCGCACTTTTCTAGGCGGGCGCATGCTCCTCCGGGAAAATTTTTTAGATTGAAGTTCTTTGACATGCAATCTAGTGAATTCTGGACGCTTAAATTTAGCAAATGCCTGGATTCCATATTGAACATGTAATGCTAAAATATTTAATAAACCACAAAAGGGGGGTCCGGGGCCCCCTCGGCCCACCCAAAAATCTGCCCTTGATAGCGAGTCACGTAAGTGAAAAAGCTCTATTTTACCCGAATGCGTCAGTGGTAAAAACACTTACAGCCAAAGATCTTTAGCTGCGCAAGATAAAGCAAACCTATGGTCAAATTATTCGAGGTATTTCATAGCTATTTTCATTTTTTCAAGGAACTGGAGTCGTTCTGTCGAATGTCTGGCTTTAAGATTCTCCACTGTCGATGTTATTTTAGCCGCAAAATCTTCTACAGCTTGATTCATTTCCTTTCTTGTGTTGTGCCTTAAATCACCTAGGAAACCAAACAAAAACAAGAACCGGTAAATTCTTATTGTCGTCATAATTACCATTTAACGAAATATATACGAATATTAATACATAAAATTTCGAATGTTGCTGAGTATAAATAGAAACAAACTTACTATATCAAAAGTTGATATTTTTGCTGTTTTGGATAGGTATTAAGTACAATTGACGTCATTTGTACTATGTCAGCTACAGGAAAAGAGACTGCAGAAGGGGCGGTAGCTTAGCTTAACAATGATAGCAAACACCATTCATAAAACGTAGGACGAGTATATTGTGAGCTTGTCCTTCGGCTCCTACTTCCGATTCCGAAAATCTGGTTTTAATTAAATCGGACGAAGTCAACGAAGTCATGATCTTAACATTACAGGGAGGATCTTGAAAATGCGATGTCGGGCCGAATGTGTGAGTTAACATCCCCATCGAAAGGGTCAAATCAGGATCAGTGATGATGTTTATGAAGGCGTCTCTAACCTGATTGGTACGTACGATTCAAACGGACGTTTCCTTCACCGACTTACCCTCTATAACAACCATTCGTCGCGTTTTTAATTTTTTTGCTAATTCCCATATCGCGCCAACCACAATAAACACTAGTAGCAACACAGAAGAGGTGACCATCAGAGATTTGTATGAGGAGCTTTTACTGTCAACCAAGCCAGTTGATCTCTCAACAGCCAGTGGTATGGACGACTCCTACAAATGAAGAGAATACTTGCGTTATTCTTTGTTATATATTCTAGTATAATCGTTCCAGCAACCCCTCTGTCTTACCCTTTTAAAAAACTATTTAATAGGGGTAACACAGTTTTTGGTTAACCTCAAAGTTGATATCTTGGCCAACAAATAAGGACAGAGGCAACTGATCGGAATTAGGCGTTTGCAGAACTTAATCACTACCCTGCCCTTCGATCTTCCTAGATAAGTCGGGAAGAGGAAGGCCCCTTCCTCTTCCCGACTTATTTAGGAAGATCGAAGGGCCTCTGCTCGCAGGGTACTTAATCACGTGCTCAGATATCAATTAGCAACTACTCGGCAAAGCCATCTAGCGTCCATTCAGATCACAAAGCTTTGAGTGTATTCGGGCATCCTGGGTTAATTCAAACGTCTTTAAGGTCTTCTAGTCCAGTCATTTTGGTTAGATTTCAACAGAATAATTAAACTAGGAATCATTCGCTTGACCTCACTCAACGCTTTGTGAACCGAATGAAGGTTTGGATGGCATGCCATTCAGCGAACCGTTGTTAAGTGGTATTCAAGCATGTGACCAAGTTTCGCAATGGGCCTATACACATAACAAGTAAGAATTCCTCCTGGTCGGAAATTTCCACGAGAAGGCAGCGTGGCTGAGCTGTTAGCCAAGAACTGGAGCTAGAGTCATCTGCAATTCCAAGGCCCCGACGAGGTCAAACCCCGCCCCGACCGCCGGCTGGATTTATTATCATCGGGTAGTCCGGAGTTCATCCGTCCTCAGCCGCGCTTGTAAATAGCCACCTGCTTTGAGTTTGCCGGTTGGTTAACCTTTTATGTTCATCTCAAATATTCATTTCTGCCCTATTTGTGGGCAGCATACAATCACAAATACTGGGTCAAAAGTAATTGTGCTAGTTCTGCTATTTAATCATTATTGGCTGATAGCTTGTCTATATAAATGCATCCCCGAGGAGTTTAACTTACGACAACCGAGAACATGCCCCAGTCGGCACTTGTTTTCGCTACCTAGTGCAGAATACGGGTGAACGTAGTCCTGAATAGGACTGTTGTTGTTGACAACTCACTTTGATTCTGAAGATGACTACCGCACAGGTTGTCGAAACTTCAGTCACTGTCAACAACAACAGACCTATTCAGGACTACGTTCATCCGGACGATCAAACTCAACCTACTTTTGACAAACAGGCATGCAGTCTTTTTTCTTACCTCCACGAAGTCAACGTGTTTTTCTACCGTCTGAAATATTTTCTTACGATGACTTTGCACATAACGTCCAAAACACTGCATGAGCTTTCTTGATTGCCCTCCTAGAACCACTCCGTATGCTGTGGAATAGTCGTAGATATCTATGATCCGAAGTGAAGGTTTTTCAAACAAGTCCTTTCTTCTCCCCAGCACATAAGTGTCTATTAAGGCTCCTGTGACGTCACCTTTCACTAGGGCTTCTGAGATTTCGGTGTAGGTGGTAAACTGTTTGTCTTAAAGAGGAAACATAAAATACAGTTGCAATGGGGAAACACCAAAAACGCAGTCCGACAAATATCAGTGTAATATAAATCAGGACTCAAGAAATAAAGGTAATGTGACAAGGGATGATTCGCAACGACGATTTTTAGTTCCTGTAAGTTTAACGATATGTTACATGGGACAAGTTACAACGAAAATGTTTAGCGCAACAATGTGCACATGTTTTCCGTACAGGAACAAACATGTTACACAGGCCTAATAATAATAATAATGATAATGATAATAAATACTTATAATTGAACTGAGTGGAGTGCAATTTGGTCTGAAGTCATACGCGTGATTTCAAAACGGAACAAGCGCGCAACGCGAGTTCGATTTGAAATCACAAGTATGATTTCAGACCAAAACTGACACGACACGAAGTTCAGTTACCACTCTATTACATCCCTTTTACCTGCAATTTGATTTGTTACTTTAAAGTGAAAAGATTTGAAATCTGTTTGGTTGTGCTGCTTTTGTGTTAATTTTTCATTGG